CAGGAAACCCCCCCCCAAATGGGGGTAGCTATTATGTTTGCAGACACTGGGAACTTTAAACCAATAACGATCAGAAGAGATAAAGAAGGTCACTACATACTGGTTAGGGGAAAACTTCAAGGGGAAGAGATAACTATGTTAAATATATATGCACCAAATTCCAGAGCACCCAGTTATATAAAACAAGTATTAACAGAAATGAAAAACCAAATTAGCAGTAACACAATTCTAACAGGAGATCTCAACACACCATTGACACCAAGGGACAGATAAACCAGATAGAAAATCAGCAAAGAATTAACAGAACTGAATCACACCTGTGAACAAATGGACTTAATAGACATATACAGAGTGTTCCATCCAACAACAGAATACATATTCTTCTCAGCAATACATGGGTCATTCTCTAAAATAGACCATATATTAACTCACAGAATATACTTAAATAAATGCAAAAGAGTTGAAATTATCCCTTGCATGTTATCAGATCCTAGCATTATGAAATTAGAAATTAATGATAAAACATACTGCAAAAATCCCACAAACACATGGAAACTGAATAACACACTCTTGAGTAATCAGTGAGTCACAGAGGAAATTAAAGAAGAAATTCAACAATACTTACAAGCAAATGAAAACACAAATACAACTTACCGGAATCTGTGGGATACAATGAAAGCTGTTCTCAGAGCAAAATGTTTTGCACTGAGTTCCCACATCAGGGAAACAGAATGAATACAAATAAATAACCTGGTGTTACAGCTCAAACATCTAGAAAAAGAAAAGCAAGTCAAGCCCAAAGCCAAAGTAGAGAGAAAATTATAAAAATCAAAGCAGAAATCAATCCATTTGAGACTAAGAAAACAATTCAAAAAATCAATGAATCAAAGATTTGGTTCTTTAAAGAATAAATAAAATTGATAAGCCCCTAGCCAACCTTATTTTAAACAGGGAAGGAATACTTCCAATTCATGCAATAAGAAATGAAAAAGGCAAAATCACTACAGACTCTATAGAAATATAGAAGATCATCAACACCTATTTTGAAAACCTCTACTCTCAAAGGTTTGATAACACACACAGATAAAATAGACAGATTCCTAAAAACATATGGAGTACCAAAGCTTGGTCAAGAAGATGTAAAACTGCTGAATAACCCAATTTCTATTAAGGAAATTGAAAATGTAATGAAGTCCTTACCTTCAAGGAAGAGCCCAGGCCCAGACGGATTCACTGCAGAATTCTACAAGAAATACAAAGAAAACTTAATGCTGAGACTCCTCAAACTGTTCAATGAAATTGAAAGGGAAGCAATACTTCCTAAGTCATTCCTGGAAGCAAATATTACTCTAGTACCAAAACCTGAGAAAAACCCCAACTAAAAAACAGAACCATAGATCAGTCTCCTTAATGAACACAGATGCAAAAAACCTCAATAAAATATTGGCAAATAGGATGCAGCAAATCATCAAGAATATTATACACCATGACCAAGTGGGATTCAATGCAGGCATGTAGGGATGGTTCAACATAGTAAAGCAATATATGTAATCCACCATATCAATAAAGCCAAAAGTAAGAATCACATGATCATTTCTACAGATGCAGAAAAAGCTTTTGATAAGGTCCAACACTCATTCATGATAAGAATTTTACAGAAAATTGGAATAGATGGTCTTTACCTCAATATAATAAAGGCCATCTATGACAAACAGCCAGTATCATACTAAATGGACAAAAATTGAAGGCCTTTACTTTAAATCAGGCACAAGACAAGGATATCCTTTATCACCATTCTTATTTAATATAGTACTGGAAGTACTAGTCAGAGCAATCAGACAAGAGAGTGAAATAAAAGGGATAAAGATAGGAAAATAAGAAGTTAAATTATCATTATTTATGAATGACATGATACTCTACATAGAAAACCTCCAAAATTCCATTGAAAGATTCCTAGATATAATAAATAAATTCAGTAACGTAGCTGGATACAAAATCAGTACTCAAAAATCAATAGCATTACTATACACTAGCAACAAAATCACGAAGAGAGAAATAAGAGAAGCCACACCCTTCACACTAGCAACCAAAAAATGAAATATTTAACTACCACTCTCATGAAAGAAGTGAATGACCTATACAGGGAAAATTATAATACACTGAACAAAGAAATTGAAGATGATCTCAGAAAATGGAAAGACATCCCTTGCTCATGGATAGGAAGAACAAACATTGTGAAAATGGCCATTCTCCCAAAACTGTTATACAGATTCAATGCATTCCCAATAGAAATACCATCAACATACCTTATAGATCTAGAGAAATCACTCCTAAATTTCATCTGGAACCAGAAGAGACCTAGAATCGCAAAGGCAATTCTAAGCAGCAAAGACAAAGCAGGAGGCATCACAATCCCTGACTTGAAGTTATACTACAAAGCAACAGTAGTAAAGTCAACATGGTATTGGAATCAAAACAGAGCTGAAGATCAGTGGAATAGATTAGAAGATACAACCACAACTACAAACACACTCAACCACCTTATCTTTGATAAAGGGGCCAAACAGGTTCACTGGAAAATGACAGTCTCTTTAACAAATGGTGTTGGAAAAACTGGCTCTCCATGTGCTGAAAACTAAAACTAGACCCATGTCTATCACCGTATACTAAAAGATCTGAATATTAAAACAGAACTAAATCTATTGAAAGACAAATTGGGAAAAAACCTTGAAGATATAGGTGTAGGTAGGGAATTTATGAACTCAAAAAATACTTCCCAAAATCAATAACTGGGCTCACCTCTTATTAAAAAGTTTCTGCATGTCAAAAGAAATCTCCAGCAAAGTGAATAGAAAATCCACAAACTGGGAAAAAAATCTTAGTGAACACTCCCTCAGACAAAGGACTTCTGACAAAAACATATAAGAATTAAATAAAATCAGACCCCCAAAATTCAAAGATCCAATCCAAAAACGGGCATCTGAGATGAATACACACTTCTCAGATGAAGAAATACAAATGGCAAATAAATACATGAAAAAATGTTCATCATCATTAGTCATTAGAGAAATGCAAATTAAAACCACACTGAGATTCCATCTCACTCCTGAAAGAATGGCCAAGATCAAGAAAACCATCAACAACAAATGCTGGAGAGGCTGTAAGGAAAAAGGAACTCTCCTGTACTGTTGGTGGGAGTGTAGACTGGTGCAACCATTGTGGAGGTTAGTCTGGAGATTTCTCAAAAAGCTGGGATTGGGAGTCCCATTTGTTCTAGCTATTCCACTTCTAGGCATATTCCCAGAAGAACTGAAAGCATCATACCACAATGATATATGTGCACCCATGTTTATAGCAGCACAATTTGTAATAGCCAGATATTGGAAACAACCTAAGTGTCCATGAACTGAGGAATGGATAAAAAAGTTATGATATTTTTATACAATGGAGTACTACTCAGCTATAAAGAAGAATCACACTGACATGTTTATAAATAAATGGGCACAGCTTGAGACCATACTCATAAGTGACTCACATGTATGAATACAGAATAGTTTCCCTATTGTAAGAAGTGCTAAAAATACATAAAATTATGTGGTAATCATGATTCCCCATTGTGTGGTTTTCACTCATTAATTGGAATGATTTTATTCTGGGCTGTTTGATATTATTGTGTGTGATAATATGAGCAGCTATTTTGAAGAAAACAAGACATCATAATAGCTAGTGCTGATTTAATATCATCTTGTTGTGAAGTCCCACCAAACTGTTGTTCTTCTGTCTTTATTGGTTTTATTATGTTATATCTTACTGGATTTTATTATATGTGATAGTTTTAACAAAAATTTTTATAGGAAAAGAGATAATCTAGAAACCACTGTTTGTTTTCTGTTAGCTGGTTCTAAATATTCTGTAATACTTTCATCTTCTTGAATGGTTTCACACTGTCTTGATATGTTTGATGCTATAGTATACGAAGTTATACTCAAATATTTCAAAGAAAGAGACACTGTGGTAACTACTGTTAAGTCGGATCATCTTGTGGTGAAACACTATGTTGCTTTAATTGTTCTGTTCTGACCTGTATTGTTATATTGTTATGTCCTCTTTTATCTCAATCTCCCCCTTTTAAAAAATTATTTTTATTATTATTTTTTAATTAAAGGAAAATCAAAAAAATTAGCAGGATATATTATAGTAACTTTTTGATTTCCCATTAACTTGAAGTCCCGTATTGCTCTCACCATCTTGTTTTGACTGATTTTACTGTATTCTTTTCTGTTTGATAGTATCAAGTTTGAGGGTATAGGCAACTACTCTGAAGGCAGTAAGATTCATTATGACGCCCATTTTGGTTTGACTATTATGTTCTTTTGAAGTCCTGTAATGTGTCCAATATTTAGGCTTTATTGGTCTTGTTCTGTACTGTTTTATTCAATATTATTATACCTAATGATATAGGCAATTATTTTTAAGGTATCAAGAGGCATTATGGTAACCATTGTTGATTATCTTGTATTCTGTTTTTACGTCATGTACTATGTCCATCCTTTGTTCTGACTGACTGCTTTATTTTGTTATATTTGGTTTTATTCTCTTCCAAAAAAGTAATAAGAACTATGGGAGTAATAAAACCCAAAATGTGTAAATGTTATTGTAAAAAAGAGAGGAAAAGAAAGTGCTCTAAATGATACAGCTACAAGTTTGTTTAGGTGTGTAAGATAGATGTCCATATTACTAAGTTTTTGTTGGATCATTGAACACAACTGTTTGCAGTCTCACTGTTTGAATGTCCACTTTGTATGCTTTAATCCTGTAACTTGAACAACTATTTCTAAGATGACAATATGTAATCTATTACCTAGTGATTTCTTACTATTTATTTTTATTTTTATTTGAAATTCTGTATTACTTGTGCCCTTTTACTGTTTTATTTTTTTTTCTTTAAATAAAATTTTTTAAAAATAATAAATATTGTTATTAATGCTTATTAAATTTAGGTCACCAGGGATAATCACAGAAAAGTTCATCTTGAAATTCAATCAAACACAGAATCCAATAGAGAAGAAAGCACTGCTGGAACAAGCAAGAAAAAATATTCTCCGCTGTAAGGTACAGCACATGATTTCATTAGTGCTGAGCAAGTTTTGTTTTAGAGTTGGTGAATGAGTACATGTTCTAAAATATCGAAAGAAAGAATAAGCATATCGGCACACCATTGTTTAAAGAAGTTCTAAGTAAGAAAAGAGAAAATATTCAGCAAATTTAAGTTAAAGCTTTCAACTAAATAATTAAATTTTCAGTAGCTTTTTGTGTGATGACTTCTCATAAACTAATGGAAATATGGTTGTTGACACTAGTCCATAAGCCCACAGCAATACATCAAAGGCTGGCATGTAGAATTTAGATTGTGAAAATTTAACCATTACTTTAAAAAGTTTAGCTGAAGTATAATGTAGTACAGAGAGTAAAGAAAGGCTTTGTAAACATTTACTTGTATACCAATACAAGGACTACGTTCTTGTTTTGTTTTGTTTGCTGTTATAAACTGTTCTTGACCTAACATAAAAAGTATGGTTCTTTAAGGTAAGATACTAATGCCCAAATTTTCAAATGTGTTAAACCAGAAAAGGAAGTAAAATAAACCTTTGCCTTGCCTTTAATACATTTAACTCACTGTCAGTTTAAGTTATAAGCTATCTCCATTTTTCCAATTCTTATTTTTATCCCCTTTCCTTACCCACCCTCCCACTGCTCCGTCTCTTATTCCTCTTCTCAGTTGAAAAATGTTTTCCCAGTTCCTATTGCCTGTCTTCTTTTTTGTTCTTCATTTATCATTTTTAGTTTCTCATGTAAGAGTCAGCTTAATTTATGAAATAAAAATTGCACAAAATTGAAGTAAATGTAAGATGCTTATTTGTTTTGTGATAATAGTTGTTATTTTTCAGTTAATGATTGTTCATATATATATATACATATATATATGTATATATATATATATATATAAACATTTGAGATAATCCACTTAAAACATTTGATGAAAAAATGGTATGCATGCAACAGGTGCCAGGATGTACATTCATCAGCAAGCCTCTTTCCAATTGGCTAAATGCTTCCTGGGGAGCCCCAGGATTGGACACTGCAACAAAGGAAATGAAGCAGTCACTGCTTTCCCTCATTTCCGTTAGTATTGATCTATCAACACTGAGAGCCAAAGTTAGAGCAAATTGATATCAAGCTTATTATAATCTTCAAAATTATTTTTAGACAATTAGAGATGCATCTCTTGGGAAAAATAAGATAGAAGTAACCACTGGTAGGCAGATTAAAAATGATTTTTATCAAATAACTAATGACAATACTCAAAATATTAATATTCTCTACATGCAGTACCAATAATTTGGGGAACATGTCAAAAATACTAATAAAAACAATCATATAAAATTGTATATAACTCTGGTTACAAAGCATCCACCTCACAGAATGACTTTCAGAATATAATTAAGAGATGATAAAAATTAAGAAACAAATAAAAAGTTATGCATTTGGGTTTTCATTTTTCATGTCTCCCCATTGCAGAGAAGATTAGGTCTCAGTTCCTTGGGTTCTGGGAAACATGTTCATCTTCCTTTTGCGTGGACTGAAGTAATATATCTGGCACAATGCAAAGGAGAAATTCAAGACGGTGTGTACGCTAAGCCCTTGTTAAGAATCCTAAGTGTTTTCTATATTAGTAGTTAAGACATAATTTAAGATCTTTAATTTCTAGAAATTTTGCAGGACACAAGAAAAAATATTTCAATATTCCAGTCTAAAAGTTTCTTTAATAATTTTGAATTTATGAATTTGACTGCTCAAATTTTTAATTATGAAATTGTTTAAAATTTTCTCATTATAGTCTTTATTCCTTTTTTCTAAAATTAGTAACTAATTAAAAAGTTATATAAACTGTCATTTAGTGACTTCCAATTACAATAAGCACTATATATTATAAAGTTTGTTTCTGCCTTTTATAATTTTTACTCATAAGACATTAATCAAATGGCCTTTGATTTTACTTATTTTATATAGCTGAGTTTCCTCATTACCTTTCATTTATCCCTTCTCATTTATGTCTCCTTTCAAACATCCTCCAACTAATCTAAAAAAGAAATTAAATAACATTATTTTTAAGAGGCTAAAATTCCTTCTCATTATCTTAAATGTTATGTATATGCCTTTTAAAATGAGTTTCAGAATGTTAACCACATAAGGTCAGGGAGTATTGCCCCGTGTAAATTGGGAGTGTAATGATTGTAATGCTCTCTAGGTGCTTAGAGCAGTAAGAACTGTTTTGTGTTTAACTTGCCTTTATAACCCTTCAGCGCAGTGCTACCCGTAGCTGTCTCTCTTAAATGTTTAGATGACTTTGCGGTAAAAACTTTTGGTTTGTCTCCAACCAGTATCCAAGTGCTTTGTTCATTTTTGCATTCAGGCCTCCGTGGGCCGTGTGATTCAGAGCAAGTAGCCCGTGCTCAGTCCCGGGGGTGAAGCATAGTTGGCCTGAGTTATTTTAGTCATTCCCATTAACTCGCCAGTGAATAGATTGGGAGTAATCACATGACTGATCCTGTCCAAAGGGATGTAAACACAGGACTATTTGGAATACTTTTATTAACCAGCTTTGAAAAATACATGTTTGGGAAGCATGTCTTCCCTCTTCCTGCCTCTCTTTATTGCTCTCTACGTTGTTTAATAAAAACATAAAGTTTGGAGCTTGGGTCACCATCACAGGATGTCCAGGGACGAGCTGATGGAGAAATTCACACACTGTGGACAGTTTTATTAACCAGCTGGGGATCCCTTCCGATTCTGATCTTGTAGATAACACACACCTTTTTTTGAAGATATTTTATGTTCAGTTGAATGTGTTACACGGAGCTAGAAGTGTTTTGACTCACTTGGACATTGACCCCAAAAGATTTCCTGAACATGATTTCTTCTCACCATCTTCATAAGTGAAATAATCTCCTACTAGGATCTCTATCTGTATTTTTGTCTGTTTCTACTCTGTAGTCCACTGTTCATTTAGCAGAGCCCTTTGACAGCCTAAATAATTTCCAATGACTTCTGATTTCACAAAAAATGAGCCCCAGTTCCCTGGCATGCTGATTCTGAGCCCAGTTTCAGGTTGGCTTTTCTGCATGGCAGCTGATTGTTCCAGAGCCAGACATTGGGGAGACCAGTTGGTGGCATCTATATCACCTTTTCTGATTTGGCCTTGAAAGCCATGCAAGTCATTCCTGCTGCATTCTCTCATTTGAAGGAAGCACAAGAGCTACTTGAGTTTAAGGAACATGGCGGTAGAATTTATCCTTTGCTGGGAAGGGTGCCAAATAATTTGCAGATATGCTTTAAAATTAGTATCTGATGAGCAAATAGTTAATTTCAAGAATTAATTATAGGATGCACAAAAACTAGGTAACTGTAAAATGATAGAGTTTCTATTTCCTGATATTTCAGAAGCTCTAAATATGCTCTTTGCTTCCCTGGACCATGCTTCCCTTGATTGTGATCATCTGCATGCCTTATTTTTTGTTGCGGAATCAGTTTTATATAGACTCTGTTGTGATGCATTCCTGAAGGAATTTCTATATTCTGTTGAGATAAAGCTGACAAAGGTATGTTTTGAACATTTGATGTGTTTCAAATCATTAATCTCTACACTATATGTAACTATATGACATCTATTTTAGGACTAAGGCAATAGTGTCTCTTTTACTATGGAATATGCTCAGGCTTAGTAATGTTACTTTGAGTTGTGAACAGAATATTATTGCCTGATGTTCAAGTAGACAGAGTCTGAGAAAATATAATTTTACAAACTATGTTAGAAAATATTTAATTAAAATCAATGTATTTATTGATTTTTGGAGTATATGTAAGTTTTATCTTTTCCATTTTAAGAAATTTTAATATTACTTAATTTGAAATTCAAAGTTGCTGATAGATAACCTTAAATAGCTTCCCAATCTGAAATTAGTTATTTCAGTCTTTCTGTCATTTTAGGGCTTTAACAAATTCTCTTCACTTGGGTTATATTTTATAAGATTCTTGAAATCATGTGGTTTTACTCCTGCTCATAATTGATGGTTGGAAACTATTAGTCAATTAAATTTAGCTTAATTAATAATAAACTTAGCTTAATACTTTTATTGTAAAGAAAGTAAAGAAGAGCTTCTGTAATGTATACCATAAGTACAAAACAAGTATAACTCATTCTGCAACATTATGTTTTTTTCTTGTTCAATTTTGAGTATGAACTCTTAGAAACAAAGCATGAGAGAATATTCATGAACCCGCCTTTCAGTAGGATATTTTGGGGAGACAATCATATTTCTGTCCAAACCTAATCTGGATGCTCTCTAACATATTTTGGAATAAAAGATTTATGGAGACAAAGCAAGAAAAGATGCAGAACACATAGTAGCAATTGGTTAAGCAAAAGGCTGAAGTTAAAAATGTTATGAATAGTTTTCTCAGAATTCTGGGATTACAAAGATTTTTTTGGTCTTTTTAAAAAACTTTCTATTGTTGATATATATATATATATATATATATATATATATACATACATACATACATATACATGAAAACATGCAGATATATAAAGTTAAAATAGAAGTATGAATATGAAATGTATAAAACATAAATATGAGTATTTATAATTGAAAAACAATGGAATGGAGAAATGTAAATCTGGTTCATCTGCCCCTTCCTTCTCATTTCATTTAGTAAGCTTCCTCCATTTCTTAACTTTTGCATTTCTTCTAGAAAAAAAAATTAGCTGGGCATGATGGCACATGCCTGTAATCCTAGCACTCAGGAGGCTGAGTCAGGAGGATCCATGAGTTTAAGGTCAGCCTGAGCTACATAGTGAGTTCAAAGTCAGCCTGAACTATGTAGTAAGACTTTGTCTCAAAAAATAAAAAAAAGTAAAATATAAAGTGAAATATAGTTTTATACATTTTCTATATTGCTTCTGTGTTATACATGTTATATCATTTTAAAATTTTTATCAGTGTATGTTAATGCGTAGTGATACATAATGCCTGCATTTGTCATGGGATATTGTATCTTGATCTCTTTTTTATACATTTATTCTGCCATTTTTATCCCACTCCCATTTGAGCTAAATTTCCCCTAATTCTTTTACAGTATGAAGTATACAATATTTTAAAAAATTAAATATTTTAATGGTACAAATTAAAAATTAAATGTTTTAATTGTACAAATTAGGGCTATGGCATATAATTGATGCAAGTTTACAATATATAATGTACCGCATCAGGGTAGTTAACATTTCCATCTCCTTAAATATTTAAAAAGTTTTGATTAACACATTTATGAATCTCAGCACCATATTTCAATACATGTACATAGTATGCGTTGATCAAGTCAGGATAATGAATATTTCCAACTCATTACTTTGTGTTTGGAACTGTCTGTCTTCTCTCCCAGTTGTTCATTTTGATCTTTTTAAAACTTCCCTTTTGTTTTCCCCTCCTGTCTCTGTCCTGAAACCCCAGATCCCTTTTTTATCATCAGGTCAGGTGACTTGGACAATTCCTTACAGTAACCACCAACAAGCAGTACTTAATTATGTGCTTCATACAATGATAAGTACCTTAAATATATTAAACTTAATATTAAATTGCTGAATTTTCTGTATATTCCTAAAACACAGGTGCTATTATTATCTAGCATTTCACAACATAGGAAATGATGGCAGTTTGTGTGATTCATCCAGTGTCCCAGGAGTAAAGGTTTGAAAACCCCTAAGCCCAGAGATTCTGGAGTCCCCGGAAGTACCACCATGAGACAACATGCCCAGTTCTCAGATTTACTAATTACAAAGCTTATTCTATATTGGTTTACCGGTATAAGCTAGCTAGTGGAAATTTGCAAGGCCTCCACGGGTAAGAACTTTTCTTGCCTTTGAGACTTGTCCTTATATAACTGACAATACACTGGAACCTTCCCTTTACTCCTTTTTGACAGAGAGATTTATTGAAAAATATCCCTGTCAAAGCTTTATCCACTTTATTCTGCTCATTTTGTAAATTTACTTTAAAACATTTTATTACTGCATCATGATTGCACTCATCATGGCGAGCTGGTACGTGTGCACGGTACGTCTTTATTCTCTTCACCTCTTCCCCTTCCGCTGCCTTCCTTTCATCTCTCAGTCCTCTTCCTGTTTGCAGACCCAGCTCCCTACTTCTTTTTGTATTTTGCTCTTTAAATTATTTATACTTTCAGTTTAATCATATTGGAAACCATGTACTATTTAGCCTTTTGTGTCTGATTTATTTCACTTAACATTATGACCTGAAGGTGTATCTCTTTTGCAACAAATGACTCAAATTTATCTTCCCTTCTGGCATATTAGTATTCCTTTTTCAGAAATGCTGCGTTTTCTTTATTCATTTATCTGTTGATAAATAAGTAGGCCATTCTCAATATTTAACTGTTGTGAATTGTGGTGTCATAAACATGATTATGTGTGTATTTCTGTAATGTGATGTCATGAACTCTTCAGGAAAATACCCAGACTGAAAGAGGTCCAATGGAATTTCTAGTGTTTAGTTTTTTGAGGAATCTCCATACTGATTTCCATAGTGATTGTACTAGTTTACATTTCCGCCAACAATGTAAGAGAGTTCCTTTTTCTCTGAAGCATTTGTTAGTCTTTGATTTTTTTGATGGTAGTAATTTTTTCTGGGGTAGGACATAATCTCAGGGTTATTTTAGTTTTTATTTCTATGTGGGACATCTTTTTTTTCATGTATTTATTGGCCATTTGTACTTGTATGAAGTTCCTGTTCAATTTACTGGCCCATTTCTTGATTGGATCTTTTATTTTGGGGATTTAATTTTTGAGTTCTTTAACATTCTATTGTCCTGTGTTGGAGGAGTAGCTAGCAGAAACTTTTTCCTATTATTTAGGTTGTTAATCACTCTATTGTTTCTTTTGCTGTCGAGAAGCTTTTTAATTTAATATAATTGTTCCTTTTGATTCTTGATGTTTATTGTGAAGTGTGGGTCTGTTCAGAAAATCCTCAACAACGCCTATGATTTCCCAAGTTTCACCTATTTAATACCGTATGTAGATATTTGGTCCATTTTTATTCAGTTTAGTACATTGTGAGAGATATTAATTCAGATTCAGTTTTCTGCATGTGGATACCCAGTTTCTCAGCATGGCTTGTTAAAGAAGCTGTCTTTCCTCTGTGTATGTTTTCAGTCTCTTTGTAAAGATCAGATGCGGAATGTGCCTGCAGTTCTTTCTGCGTCTCCCTTCTGTTCCATTGATCCACGTGTCTGTTTTTGTGTCAGTCTCATGCTGTTTTTTTTATTACTGTAGCTTTGTAATACAACTTTAAACCCAGCATTACGATGCCCCTGTTTTGCTCATTTCCCAACATTGCTTTTGCTATTCTGAGTCACTTTGGGCACCATATAAATTATCTCTAGTTGTGTGAGATACTCTTTTGATTTTTATTGCATTAAAGCTATGTATCAGTTTTGGAACTATGATCATTTTGACAATTCTGGTATCCAGTAACGGGATAACTTCATTTTTTGCTGTAGTCTTCAAGCTGTTTTCTGGACACTATGGTTGTTGCTATAGAGGTCTTTCACTTCTTATATTTAGTTAGGTCAAGATGTTAAAGCCATTTTTCCAAGCATAGCATAACTATGGGTAACCTCAGGTAAGATTCATGACTCAGGGTACAATAGAGAAGTTTCTCTTTTATGGCATATTAGATTTTGAACATTCATTTTTTCTCAATGTCTATCTCTTAGTCTTCAAAAAATTTCAAATTATCTTCCTAACTAGTTTTTCATCCATGGCTTAATGTGATGTGTGTTGTTGTCTATAATACTTTCACTTAGAATATTATAATATTCTTTTATATACTTTCACTTCTTTTTCATTTAATTTTGATCTCTTAGAAAAGCATATTACTATACTCTGGCTTCTCTTCAGATCGCATAAGTCTTTCCCTTTTACCAAAGAAAAGCACAGTACTACCATGAAATAGTAAATATCCTCCCCCACACTGGATATGCCTCACAAACATTTTATTATTTACTTGTTTATTTTCTGAGTCTACAAATCGCACACATTTATAATTTCTAGAAACATTGATGAATAATAATGAATCATCCACAAATTTATTTTAATGATAGAGATTCATAATAAAATACTTGAAAATATTTCTATAGTTAAAAGTTTTTGCCATTTAGAACAATTACACAGTCTTGGGGTTGAGGCTTTGTATTGTCATTTATTTGCCTAATAGTATTGGGTGAAGTACTGAAAATTGGTTAGATTCACCTATTTTATTTTGACGTATGTGTGATAACATGTACATCTCATTAATTACTACATTACAGTTAAGGGGACTCAAGATTACTTCTTCACATGCACATTCATAATACACCCTAGAAAGTGACAATTATTGCCAGTGTTTTGTTCTTTTCCATGATTTAACAAATCACATTACTTGTATTCTATTTATTTGTACAGTTTATGTGTTTCATTATGATTTTATGTGAAATCTTATATATTATGCTTTTGTAGACATTCCATTTTATGCAACCTGTGTAACACAAACTTTTTTAAAACTGGTTTAAACATCACAGAAGATTTTGTAGTGCTTTCCAGAAATGAATTTCTTCACAGTGCAGTAGAGAGCTTAGTACAGTATAATATTCTTCAGTTATAAAATAATTTTTTCACATTGTTTTGAGATTCATGTTTCCTTTCCTCAGTGTGATCCAGCACACACATAATAAACAGTCACTTATATACTAAAAAAGGTATTATGAAATATATCATGATGCTTTTTTAAAATTTTATTTGAGCACTGCCCCTTCATTGGTCTCATGAAACACTGGGGAAAATACTGTTCTAAAATATATAGAGCAAAATAGCATTCAGCACTGGTGAAGTATAATATATAATTGATTTATGAATTACTTTTGCTGACTAGCATTTCAATCTTCATATAAATTTTTTAAAGCTACTTCAAAACCACATGATATCAAGTGAGTTTAAAGTTATTTTACCAAAAGTAAATTTAATCATAAAATGGTTCATTTTCTGTATGGTTTTTAAACATTCATCGATGCAACACAAAAGAACTTTTTTCTTTTTTCTTTTTGGCAGATTGGCTATTTGATCTTCTTACGACTTTTTATATTTTACCTGCATGGTCAACTAGAAAATTTTAAAGAACATTTACTTAGGCTTCAGCCATATTCATATGGTAAAGTATCTTTTTTTACACTTATAAGTGTTTTATGTTACATTTTAAGAAGCTCAGACTGTCAAGAAGATGACCATTATATTTTTCATGAATGATTATAGATACACAGTGTTAGTTTCTGATCCAGATTGCATTGATTCGGTTTGTGATTTTTTGCCCTTATGTACCTGCTATTACTTTGTGGTGAGAACGTTTAAAATCTCTTCTCTTCACAATTCTGAAGCATGTATTTTTGCTAACATAGTCACCATGTTGTGCAGTGCTCACTAGGGCTTATCTTTTCTACCTACTGAAATGTTACACCCTTGACTAGCATGTCACTTTGGCCTCTTCACTCTCCAGCCATGGTAACCAGTTACTGTGCACTGCCTTTTCACCTCCTCTCTAAGTCTAATAGTGTTTGTGATTCAGTTTCCTCATTTCTAGTAATGCCTACCAATGCTAGATTTCAAAACTCAAATTCATAAGGTAATGGCAATATAGATACTGAGTAAGGAGCAGGCAGCAAATGCAACATACTGCACACAAACTAAATGTTCCAGATCACTATTTTAAAAGTTTTTCAAAAATTTTTGAACCAAAAACCATGGGAAGAAATATCTTTTGCTTTGTAATTCAGCACACACAAAATGTACACTCAGTCATGTAGAGACAAAAAAGAATTATTAAGGAAGAGAGTAAATGATGTAAACTATTATAGTGTGACTCATAGTTTAAAACTAAAAGTAGTTTTAAAGTATTTAGGAGATACAAAACGATAGATTTGATGATCAACTGGATTTATACGCTATGTGAGAGAAGAGTTCAGAAGGACATTCAGGTTTTAATCATTGAGGGTCAATTTTGGGGCACTATCGTACATACTGAATTTGAAGTTAACTTAGAAAAAAGTGAAGTCTGAAATATAGATTTTATAATTATCCCTGTTAATATAGTGGAGATAACCTGAGGCTGAGAAGTGGGAGGCAGAGAAAGTAATTCTCAAAAGTGAATCTTTGGGAAGGTAAATGTTTAATGGATTATTGGAATAATAGAGCCCAGGAATAAAGAATTTTAAAAAATAAGAGGAAGTAGTGACATCTAAGGAGGAAAGCCAAGGACTAAATTTTCAAGAACTCCAGAAGGGGTAATTAGGAGGAATCTGAAAAGCGGGTGTGGATCTCTGCAATCAGAATGTCATCCTGTGCCTCGGGGCTGAGGGGGCAGTAACATTCAGGCTGGAGGTAAGCAGGAAAGGAAAATTGAGGCACACAACCACGGTTGTGAAATTCTTCAAAAAGCTTGGCTATAAGGATTTATGCAAACATAAATATATCAATAGTTTGGGTAAAAAAATCATTAAAAGAGGAAAACAGTAGTGTGTTATAAGAGAAAGAGATCCAAAAAGAAAAGAAGGGGATGATATTTGATGGAAAAAGTCGCTGAACAGAACAGAAGGTAAGAGCTGACGTGGGTTAGGGGCCAACTTGTTTGTAGTGCCCCATGTGTGCCCACAGATGCCAAGAGGAAACTGCAGGTTAGTACAACAGAGATGTCTGACTTCCTCAATAAATTATAAATGTTCTGAACTCAGTGTTTAGCATGGTGATTTATCTAGTATTCAGATGATGGTGGTTGAAAGGTTTTGAGAAATTATTTGAATAAAATCTCAAGTTCTTGTATTAGTTTGTTATTGCAGATATGTCACAAAAAGCCTCCCTTTTTTCTATCTTTTTTCTTTCATTTTTTCTTTATTTCTACTAAAAACAATCTTCATTGCTCCTTTACCAAATTCTGGTAAGTAGAGTTTTAAGATACATCTCTATCTTTAGAGACAAGTTGCTTTCTACTCAACATCATAGCAACTACTACCTATCTGTGCAAGTGTCCAGGAGATTGGTCATCGCTAATTTTTCCACTGTTATGAATGGGGTGAAACTCAAAGATCGTCAGAGTCTATAAAAAAACACAAAAATATCTGTTAAATATCACAGTGTTTTATGTTAAGTGACATAACTGTGTCTATAAGTCTTTGTTTTAAAATCAATAATAACAATTTGAAAAGGAATAGAACTGGAGAATATTAGGTTATACGGCATTGATTGTAGAATTACAATTTCAAAGTATCCATTATGAATAGAATGTCTATTGTAATTTTCAACTGGAAGCTACCAAGCATTCCTGAGCAACAACAATGTTTAATTGGGGCTTCAACTATTATGCAATTGTGTTCTAAATTATCTAAAATCTTATGCCTGAATTATTTACCTTGTAGTTTTCTTTTGCACCAGCAGGGGGAGAACAAAACTTTATAAATCTCCCTAGATTGTGAAATGTAAAACATTTTCAGCACTTACATAGTGAATTTTATTTTACTTTAATGATTAAAAGACATGTGAAACACAATGCAAGATAATAAATGTTTTCCACAATTTTTTTTTTACAATAGCACTTTTTGCTTCTGGAGAGTCATATTACAAGTATCCAAATATCTTTTCAAATGTCCAATTCATGCTGAAAACGTTACAAATTATATGTGGAAAAGAACTCTTTTCTGAATCAGTTTTTAGCACTGTGGAGAACAGGGGAGGATTTGAGAACACAGATTCTGATGTGGTAGGTAATCTGACGTGGTGGTTTGTCCTTTTACTGTGATAATTATAGTTGTCAACCCAGCAGCCATCGCTGAAGGTGAGTTTAGCAGCGAAACCTAGTGAGTGACATGGTGGGCAGCACCCGCTAAATTAATGTGACAATTTGTACATTTTCCATATGGGGTCTTGTCACTACTACTACTTTAGATGGAGAAATCTTTACAGGCTCCATATTAGCCATTTAATTAAAAATTTCAACAGAATTTAGACTGATTTATAAATTAATATTTTAAAGTATTTTATTTGTATTCTAAGGAAAATATGTAAAATGAAGAAACAAATATAATATTTTATGCTCCCACAACTCATCCATAATAACATTGAATAGGCTATAAAAATCAACTAAAAACTTTAAAATTCAAATTGAGGAACTGAAATAATTATTGGTACATAAAACTCTTAATTTCTTTGTTTTAATAAGTAATACTTTTATTTAGTGGTGACTAAGTATAAGATTATCTGTTTTTATCATATTCCTAAAATATTCACAAATTAAATTCAAAAGATGACATTTATTGTATCTTAAATATATGAAATATCTAGTGATAAATGCAAGCATTTGAGAAAGCCCTACCAATAAATTATAGAAAACAATAAAACTGAAGTAAGCGGTCACTTTAGATGAAACTATCTATATATGGTTTCTTGGTGTGAAATAAATAGCAATTATGCAAACATAAACACAGTGAGCCACAAAATGTGCATGTTAATTATTTATTTTTTATTATTAAGTTTATTGGTAACATTTAGCTACACATAATAATCACCTTCACCATGGAGAATTTGTACCTGTGTATCATATATATTGATTTCTTTTTTTCCTGTCCCCTGCACTCCCTTCCGCACCTCTTCTTATTTATAAAATTTTGTTTCCATTTTATCCTCTTTTTCCTTTTCCCTATCTTCATTTTCCCCTTTCCCTTTCCTAGATCCACTTTCCTTTTGAACAATTTATTCCTGTTTCACAATATATATTACACGTTTTTGGAGGGAACCAAGAATCAAACTCATGACCTTGTGCTTGACAGCAAGCACTGTGCTGCTGAGCTAAATCCTTGGCCCTATTTTGATTCTTATTTATACTGTCAGTTACCCAGAGATACAATGAAATATTTACCTGTTTGTTTGATTTATTTCACTTAAGAAAACAGTCTCAAGGTCCATTCATTTAGCTATAAATGACTTAAGTTTATCCTTTTTATGGCCGAGTAGTATTTCATTGTTTAAAAAGAACTTTTAAAAAATCCATTCATCAGTCAATGGGCATTTGGGTTGTTTTTAATATTTATTACAGAGTATGCTTTTATGAATGTAGGTGTGCATATATTACTATGGTATGATGTTTTTAATTCTTCCAGGAAGATATCTAGAAGAGGAATAGCTGGGTCAAATGGGACCTTTAATTCTAGGTCTTGAGGAATCACCACGTTGATTTCCACAGTGGTTGCACAAGTTTAATCCTCACCAGCCATAGAAATGGATTTCTTTTCCCCCACATCCTGGCCAGCATTTGTTAATTGTTAATTGATTTTTCAATATTAGCCATATTTTCCAGAGTGAGATAGAATCTCAGCATTGTTTTAATTTGCATCCTTGAATGATCAGTGATGTTGAACATTTTTTCATATATTTATTTGTGGTTTGTATTTCTTCACCTGAGAAATGTGATTCAGATGCTCATTTTTTGATTGGTTCTTTAAACTTGGGGGGGGGTTCTGATTTTTTCCAATTCTTTACATGCTCTAGATATCAAGCCTTTGTCTGAGGGACAATTGGCTAAAATTTTTTCTCACTCTGTTCATCTTGTTTTCACTTTCTGGTAATTTTCTTTGCTGTGTAAAAGCTTTTTAAAAAGACGAGATCCCAGTTTTAATATTCAGATCTTTGATCCACTTTTGTTTTTAGTTCAGTTTTAGCCTTCACCGTGTGGAAAGCCAGTTTCTCCAGCACCATTTATTAAAGAGGCTGTCTGTCTGTCAGTGGATATGTTTGGCTCTGCTGTCAAGGATAAGGTGGCTGAGTAATGGCAGTGCGGTGGAGAGCGGGACTCGTGCTGACAGCCGCTGCCACCGCCCGTCTTCCTGGCTCATTTGTCCTTTGCTCCTTTGGGTGGTTCCTCTCCCCCTATCCCTCCCCCTTGGCCTTCTTTAGTGGGAGATTTCAGCACTAAACTCGCACAATGTCTTTGAAACAGAAGATTTTGATGAAACAAGAAGCAAGCTCCTGGTTACAGTGAAAGCAGTTGTTATGTTGGAATACCTCGAGAGAATAACATGGAACAATTGCTTCTCAGAGATTTATGCTTTGTGTGTGGTCTATCCTGAACTTCTTGGAGAGAGACTTTACATAGAAACTAAGAGTTTTTTGGAAAACCACATTTGGCGTTTGCACAAGAGAGTTCTAGTGTCCAAAGAACAAGTACTTGTTATGTACCATAAGTGTGGGAAGAATATAGCAAGAGTGCAGACTGTATGGACTCTGGGTATCTCAACACCCAGTATATGAAAAAGAATAAGTTGACTGAGGCTGACCTTCAGGAGGGTTATGGTGGGGTAGAAATGAATGAACCACTCATGGAGATAGGAGGGCTAGCTCTGGATATGTGGAGGCAGTGGATGGTTGTGCTGCTGCAGACCATCCTTATCTAAATGCTGCTCCGAGAAGTAAAAAATGATCATGGTGGAGAAGACCCAAACCAGGAAATAATCCACAGGATTGTTAACTCCTTTGTTCATGTTGAAAGGTATAAAAAATTTTCCTTTAAAGTTTTATCAAGAAATCTTTGCATCTCCTTTTCTGACTGAAATAGGAGAGCATTGCAAACAAGAAGCTTCAAATGTATTACAAGAATAAAATTGCTCACAGGATATGGAAAAGTCTTTAGGTAGACTAAAAGCTGAAGAAATTCAGTGTTGAAAATACTGACATCCAGGTTCATATACTTAAGTAAGAAGACATGAATGTCAGCAAAGAATGGTAGTAGACCACTTACAGTTCTTACATGCAGAATGTCATAATATTATTCGACAAGAGAAAAAATGACATGGCAAATATGTATTTTTACACCTTGCTGTGTTGACTGGGTTACTCCATATGATGTAGGAGTTACAAAATAATATCTATGAGCAACTAGTAACCTTACTCAGGAAAATATGCCAATGCTATTTGTGGAATCAGTTTTGGAAGTACATGGCAAATTTGTTCAGCATATCAACACTGTTTTGAATGGTGATCTGCACTTTGTGGGTGCATTGGATAAGGCCCTTGCATTACATGAAGGCCCTTACATAGTGGTAAATTGCAGAGAACTCAAGTCTGTTTGCAGAGCACCCGAACTGCTAAGTACTGTGACAACTTACTGAAGAAGTTAGCAAAAGGAATGGCTGCGAATGAAGTAGACAAATTGATTGGAGCTTTATTACTGTTTTCAAATCCATTGATGATAAGGATGTTTTTCAAAAGTTCTATGCAAGAACATTGGCAAAACGCCTAATTCATGGATTATCTATGTCTATGGATTCTGAAGAAGCTATGATCAATAAACAAGAGCAAGCCTACGGTTATTAGTTTACTAGCAAGGCACCTCGAATGTATACGATGTGTGTGTCAGTGTCATATGTGTGTCAGTGCCAATCTTAATAAGATCAACAATAAGTTCAACAATTTTGTTGGAAATCAAGATCCACTAATAGATTTGGGAATTAGTTTTCGAATATATGTTCTACAGGCTGGTGCATGGCCTCTCGGACTCTTTCGTCTACATCTCAGCTCTCCAAGAATTAGAAAAACGTGTACAAATGTTTGAGTTATCTTATAGGCAGCATTTTAGTGAATGGAAGCTGACATGGCTACATTATTCTGCACAGATGAAGTTAAAATGAACTATCTGGGCAAACCGTATGCAGCCCTGGTCACGACGTACCAAATGACTGCTCCTCCTGCCTTTAACAACAGTGAAATGGTCAGCTATAGGGAACATCAAATCAGCACTCAGATGAATGAAAAGGAGCTGACAAAAATGATCACATCATTACTTGATATGAAAATGATTAACCATGATTCAGAAAAGGAAGACATTGATGCAGAATCTTCGTTCGCATCAAATATGAACTTCAGCAGTCAAAGAACAAAAGTTAAAATTACCCCATCAATGCAAAAAATACACTACAGGGAATGGAGCAGACTGGAAGTTCTGCAGATGGGAAAGGGAAAATGTGTTTCCAAGCTGGTATAGTTCGTATCATAAAAGCATGGAAATTGCTTCCACACAATGCTCTTACTCAAGAGGTGACCAGCCAGTGGAGAGCGAGGTTTAATTCTAGCATCAGCATCGAAGTCCTGATAGAGGAGCAGTACACTGAACACAGCCAGGCATCGGCACATGAGTCCAGCTGCATTGCTGGATGTCTCCGCTGCAGTGCAGGTGCAGATTGGAGCAGGTGCAGATTGGAGCAGGTGCAGACTGGAGCCGTCGGGCCCTCGAGCACCTGTGCAGCCATAATTTGACCTTTCAGCGGCCTCTCTTTTTCTGCTGTGTAGCATGTCATCATGCACATCAAAGAAAATGTCTAGAGATATTTCAAGCTCATGTCATCATGACATTTCTTAAACTTTATCGGAGTGAGTGAAATGTTGCTGGAATGTAGAAATTCAGTAACTATGAACTTGGTACCTTTAACCAGCGGGGCGCACGCTGCAGTTATATAAGAAAGTCCACCATTATTCAGGAACTTGTATACAAAGATTTTTCCTTTAGTAGGGTGATTTTACCCTGTGGGATGGAAATTTAAGAAAGATGTGAGAAAATAGAAAGTTAAATGAAGAGAAATATAGTTGAAGCAAGACTAGAAATCAAACAATGATCATCCAGGCTTTGGGAGACTGAAAAATGGGACAGATGAGAGGGAATGAAGGAGAAGGCAAAAGGTTACTGATGCAGACCTGAGAGACTAGAGAGGGTGTGCACTCACATGTGAATATCATAAAATCAAGGAAGAGAGTTGAGGAAAGGCAGAAGAAAGACAAAAAGATCAGAAAAAGTATAAAGTCCTAAACAACCTAAAAGCAAGACAAAACAAAACAAAAAAGCCTAAAAACAACCTCCCCCAAACCCGTTTATCCCTGTGTCTCTCTCCCAGTTGCTGTGGCCTCAGACACAGACAGCCCAAGGCTCTCAGTGTGTACGGTTGGCTCCTCCCAGTCAGACCAGCCTTCTCTGTTCCACTTCCTCTGGCGTATGTCTACCGTCTTGCACCAGGGTCAGGTCTGTGCTGTGAGCTTTCTCTTTGCTCCTGCTGTTGCAGAGACAACCAGTCCCACTTTGATCTGCACTTTGCTGGGGTGGTGGTGATGGGGTAGTAACACACCTCACTAGTCACAGGACTGGAGGGATTGTTCTGTTCCATTCACTGTCTTCGCTGCTGCCGCCACTGTTGTGTGCCACCATGCCACTGTAGTCCCTGGCCTTACAGGCCATGGCTTCTGCTGCTGTCTGGGAAGCAGCCTAAGGCTGCTGAGTCCCCTTCAATGTCTTCTGTCTCACGGGGTGGTGGTGGAGTGTCAAGGCTGTTTAAATCTGCACATCTGCGTCTGTCCCTCTGTCACTAGTCACAGGGAAGGAAAGATCTTACATCCCCTCAGCTGAGGTACCTAAACTTGTTGTTCCAGGACTGCTCAGTTACAGCACATAACGGAAGAGAAGCTGGTAGGACTTTGGGGAGGGCAGTTTACTGCCAGGCTGCCTCTTCCTCTGTGTAGAGGAAAGCATAAGAGACTCGGGGTCTCGTATGCCACATCTGTCCTGTTTTGCTTGAGTGAACCACACTTCTGCAGTGCATTCCTTTCTTGGAGACTTCACAGTATGGTGAATCTTGCTTGGCAGGCAGGCAGCATGCCACTGGCAGCCCTGTGGGCTTGACTGCCATTTCGTAGTCCTGTGTCTATGTTTTGTTTGATCTACAAGTTTCTTATTTCAGATTGACTTGGGGATTGGGATGGATGTCCTTTCCATTCCTCCTATTATCTGTGTTGTTAGTTGATTTTCTCCGAGCAGCTCCATTGTGGCTCCTCCTCTGTTCAGCAATGTTGACTCTCTCTGCACATGTTCTTTATAAACTGACGTGCTTCAAAAGGCAGACTTCAGTCTCTGAAGTAATGTCTTCATTTTCCATTCCTTACTAATTTTTCAAAGACAGCCAGTGATCACTTTGAAACTTTAACTCTTTCATTATTTTGTTTTATGTGTATATTTATTACTTTATAGTTTACAAGTAGTACTTTGTTTTGAAAGAGCACATGCTTTCTGACATACTGTACATTGAAACACTAAAGTAATTTAAGAAGTGTTTCTTCTAAATAATATTATTCATGTGTGACCTCACAGGTCTTCCTTGTTTGTGTTGGACATTTTTTTTTATAGGTACCAGGGATTGAACTCACGACCACCTGCTTGCAAGGCAGGTGTATATGCCACTGAGCTAAATCCCCAGCCCCATGTTGGACATTTTCTAACATTAGCTGTAGCATATAAGAAAAAGACATTTTTTCCTTCATCTCTTTATAATCTTTCTAGGCCTAAGTGTTGAACCCATTACTGATGATTCATTCATACAGAGTGACAGTTACTAAAGTAATTTGAGTCTTTTGGTTATAATTACAAATTCTATCATACAAGGAAAGTTTTCATTTTTAAGTATTAAAACATAAAAGTTCCATTGACTTTGACAAATGCTATACTTTAGCTATATAGACCGCAGGGCTAGAACACTGGACTGAGTTTTCCATTCTGTCTTTTGCTCTGTGGTAAAGCTTGCTTTCCTAAGCACACTTGTCACACAATAATAGCAACATGGTTCTTTGGAGAGATAGCTTTAAACTCAGCTAAAATGCAGTAAGTCCCTTACTGCATAATTTCATCTGTTCTGAAGCACAAAGAGTTTCCAGAAAACTAGCAGACCAAGTTCACCTTCTAATATGATTAACAGTCTCACTCTGTGACTCTAGAGTTCTGAAGGCAGTGTTTAAATTTGGAACATTTTGTGCTGTGCTATGATTATAAATGGGTACTGTGAATCAGGTTATAATGAGACACATATTTTTTAACATTAGGAGCATGATCCTGAGATTCATGTCCCATTATCCAGGCAATACATTTGTACTCATGGCAATGTCAAATATCCCCCACACAATGGAAAACAGGATAAAACTCAGAGACCTGAATGTGAACAACCAAAACAGAGCTCATACCTCAAAGGTTACTTCTCTTAAAAAAGAAAATCAGGTCAAACAGTTAGAATTAGTGCACTTAAATTTTAATAAATGCATCAGAACTTTATCTAAACAGTGGACTAGCGAAACATATGTAGGTAGGCTTCTCAAAGTCTGAATTATACTACTGTAACCAGAAGCTCAAAAAAGGATGGAAGATGAAAGAAAGACAAACCAAAAACAAAAGAACAAGGAAAGAAGAGAAGGAAGAAAGGAGAATGGGAGAGAAATGTGCTATTGAAATCATTTAATGCTGTGTTCAGTGTTTAAAAATACATCTTAATTTTATTAGACTGCATATGTATATAATTATTGTCAAATTGTTATAAAAATTGCTACATATGTATCCATAATTTCTGTTTTCTAGTTAACAGTAATTGATGGCACTTATCTGCAACCATATCTCTGTAGGACTGATTTAGTGGAAAGGCAAAGAAGTAAACCACTTACTGACTCTTAAACCATTGCTCCTTGTTGGCCTACTAGGCTGATAATGATTGTATTTTTTTTCTTAAATCACAGTACTGTCATGATTATACAAAGTCAACCAAGTTTGGTAAAGTTGCTCTTTGCAGTGCTAACATCCTTAAGCTAAAGGTCAACAAGAGCATACTTGCAGTTAGAAAAATTGGATTTATTTCTCTTTGAGGCAGGAGAGGGTTAGCACAGGGAACTGTGAGATGTCTCAGCAAGGAGGGGTTAGGATGCACCTATGACAGGATCCCATGTGGAGGAAAGCTAGAGAAGCAGGGCGACCCTCTGTGTTATGCATTGTTGGGGCAATTCAATGATTGGGTATTTTGTGGGATAGTGAGTTGGTTATTGTCTGTGCTTAAGGAAAATATCATCAAGTGGTTTTGTTTACTTATTATGGCCTTAATAATATTATTTGGGGTGTTATATTATTTTAATTTTGTTTGAGACAGTCTCACTGTGTGTTCAGGCTGATCTTGAACTCACCATGTATCACAGGCTGGCCTTGAACTTGCAGCAATCCTCCTACCTGAGCCTCCCTAGTGATAGAATTACAGGCATGTGCAACCACACCTGGCTTGAGGTGATATTTTGTGAGGTTTTGTCCAACAAGAGATCAAAGTGACCTGGCTGTGTGTGTCAGACCAGACTGTAATAACATAATGTCAAATCAGTCCCAGATATCAGAAGCTGCTTTTTATTTTTCTCAATGAAGAGTAAAAATAGCATCCTGTGAAATTGAAAATAAGATGTTAATCTTGTTCATTGTCTCAGTCCTTATCTTTTATTTTTCAAATGCTTCCAGGAATTGTCTCTGGTGATAGAACATAAGTGTGTTAGGAGAAGAATTTTTTCACCTGACTTCCGAGAAGTCTATGTAGCCCTGCACTATATATGAGTTTAAAAAAACTGTTTTGAATTAATTATTCAAGCCATTCCAAATTTTCAAACATGGTCTATTTACTCATTTATTCAGAATAAGTTTGCCACCTGAGGACTGTCAGGCATCTAGACTGAGATACTCACAGTAATTTGAGAAGAAAATTTCATCTATATGAGCTCCACTTTTTGGATGGACTTCACCAAAAAGCAGACAATTGAGTTATGTGCACATTTACTGAAGTCAGCATGTCTCAGTGTATGCATCACATCATTTTAGAATAAAGCTTTGCTGTGGAAGAACCTAACATTCCAAATATCTGTTTGTTTCCATTTTCCTTTTAGAATTATTATTCCCTAAGTCAGCAGGCTTGTGAGGACTTGGTCTCAGATAGGCCTTTATCTCCAGCATCTAGCTGAGTTCCTCACAAAACATGAATCAGTGTACATCTGTGATGCTCAACTAAGAATTTACTAGAAATTTTAAATGACTTAGTTTGAATTTATATACAAGTTTCTTCTAGCTTAAGGATACCAACATGGATATTATCTTTTCTTTGAAGTTGCACTGTTATTTTATATTATAAAAGTTAAAATATCTTTTAGATTTTATGAGTTTCTTTTTAACAGGACAAATATCAGCTAAGTTAGCAATTTGGGTACATAAAGCAGAATGTGTATTGCTATCTTCACTGTTGGCAAAAACTCAATGAGAATGCTATATCATTGGTGTATTACAATGACTTTATTAGGCCAATTACACCTATGAAACTGTCAGGGAATATTCTAAGAAAAAATGAACAACAGCCCATTTGTTACCTGAATTGGTAGGCTTTTAACAGAACTTAAAATACTTAACAGGCATTAATCATGTCCTACAAGGCATATATACTGTTCTTTAATAGTAGAAATTCACATTTTAAAACCTACTGTGTTGGTAGCCCTTGTTCATATTTCAACCTTCTTCTACTGGCAAGGGAAACTAAATCACATAAATTGTTTGAAACACAACTGTGTCTGAAAGTTGTCCCATGGAAGATGCAAGATTTTTGTCTCATTATAAAACTCATGTCATTGAACATACAGTGTGAAAATATATACATTAGGTTTAGGTTAATTGTATATATTTACAAAATATGCTTATGTAATCATTGCCCTTAGTGAATTGTGAAATGTAACAGAATGTGCATTTAAAATTAGTTTTCATGTTTGTTTGAGTCAAAGAATTCTTTCCTGGCTATAAATTTTGTCTTAATTCCAGGCACATTTGCCGAGTAATCATGGAGAATATGAACTTAACCCTCTGCTCTGGCACTGTGTTGCTGCTTGGTTTTGTGTTCAGAGTAATAGTCCGCAGCTGAGTAGTGTGCTTGACCATCTCCTCTTGCATAAAATGCAACATCAGAAGAACTACTGGTAAGAGCGATGCTATAAACCCAGAGTAAGTTGTGGAGAAACCTTTTTACTTAATGTTAAATAACCTTTGTATTTAAATGTTAATCATCCTTCAGTTGACTATGAAAAAAACATAACCTCAGTTCCACAGAAAAGGGCAATTTATATATTTCATGTTAGATCACTTTATTAATAATTTGTTCCTATTTATGTTTTGCTAGATGTACATACCAGTATAATAGAGTTTATCTTTATTGAATGAGATTTATAATTGATTTGAATTTCATTCCGCATTTATTTTCCATGTAGTTAAATAATAACAATGAAATATAGTTTGTCATCACTGGAGGATGTATACTAAGATTCTAGTTCTTTATGTCTTATTTGTAATGTATAACAAAGGCGAAGGCCTACTAGTAAGTGATGGAAGTGCATATGTTCCTAATTGTAGGGACAGATTTTCACATTTTCATCATAGAGGATGATGTTAATTGAGGGCTTATTGGTTATGGTATTTATTTGTTGAAGAATTTTAAAGACATATTTCTGAGAAAATATATCAGAAGGCATTCCTTTCTAATGTTTGCGGTGGGTATATCAGGTTTTGAAGTCTTTTTTCAATGCTAAAATAATAATAATTATCATCTTTCATACCATAATAAATTGAAAATTCAGATATCACATTTTCTAATAAGTTTATAAGCTTTTATCAGCCCACCCTACACCAAAAGCCTTTGTATATATAAATTCTACATCCCTCTAAATCAACTATAAATCCTACTAAAAATGGGGAGCATTTCTTATCAAAGGAAAGTCATTTCCCCACTTAGAGTTTGTAGGATTTTAGATCATGGAAAGATTTCTGGAGAATGGCTTAAAAATTACCTATTTTCCTAGAAATAGCTTGCTTAGAAGACAGCTCACCCTGCCTCATAGCTTTAGGGAAGAAAATCTCTCCGTGTTACAATTATACAAAAATAATGATTTTTTTTACACCTTAATACTGAAGAAATATTCCATAGATAGGAAAACAAACATGTACCAAAATAGAATATTTATTATATTAGTAACAACACAATTTTAGTAAGTATTTTTAAATATAGAACCTCTAAAACAAAGATTGGAAGCTTTCTTTATTGTAAGGTGGGCTATTCTGGAACACCAAGTGACTCTGCCAAACCACTTTAAGTTTTAGGAAATAATTAGGGATTCAAACATATGATTTATTTTTAACAGGACAAACACCTAAAACAGTGTTAGCTCTTCAAAACTGTAGCTCGTCTTTATAATGAACAAAAATGACATCTTAATGTATAAAGTAATTATTGCATGGTTTTGTCAAACTTATTTACTAAGTAATATTTACTAACTAAACAGTTTAAATAAGTGCTGAAACAGTAAAAGTAGATGATTAAGAATGTCTAATTCTGGAAGTCAATTAATAGTTTAATTATTAGTTTAATTAATAGTCAATTAATGTCTAATCTGGAAGTCAATTAATAGTTTAACTAATTTTTGAAGTTTTATTGTATTGTAACAGCATTCATTTAATTTAATTTGCTAATGATTTGTGTTTAAGTTTGACTATGACTACTTAAGTATTTTTTAAAGTATTTAGTTCTTTACAGATTTGGAAGAATGGAGAAAATATCAAACTCTTCCCATTTGGATATGAAGAAAATAAGCCAAATTTCCTAGGCTTATTAGTGATTACAATCAGATTTTAACTGTCCCAGTACAGCAGTTTCTCCATGCCTCATTCTGTGTCATTCTGGATACACTGCTCAGTGTGTAACACTTTGAGACATACTATCGTAATTCCCAGATTTTTTAAGGAGGATATTATGTGAATCATTAAGAGGGTTAGTGGTATTTAGACAATACTGGAAAAACTGAGAGTAAATTGAATGAATGACAGTTTATCATAGAAAGGAAAGGACAGTTGACTAAAAGAATACTATCAGATAGTCTTAATTCTAAAAATCAGAATGGTACAGAAACAGAAACAGACATATGGATCAATAGATCAGAACAGAGGATACAAAATATGCCCAGATACATTCAGCTCTTTGATCTATGACAAAGGTGGCAGAAGTGTAGGTAGAAGAAAAGATAGCCTATTCACCAAGTGGAGGTAGAAAATCTGAGTGTCTTTACAGAAGATTGAAGTTGGAGTCTTAAGTTTCACCACGTATTAAACTAAAATCAGAATGAATCCAAGCTCTAAACATTAAAACAGAAACTTTGAACCTATGTTAACGCAAAATAGGTAAAATACTTGAAGTCATAGATGTAGGAAAAGATTTACTAAACAGCAATAATTGGGTAAGAACAATAGCAAAAATCAACAAATAGAGTGGGAGATGAAAGGGAAATGTCTTGGAGAAAGATGTGCCACGTGCAGGGACCCAATAACCCCAATGAATATAAACATTATATGTCATAAACATGAGCTAAGATTAATAATATCAAGAAGAATAAAAATGGTGAAAGAGCATTTGGAGGAAGAAGAAGGGAGATTTGAGGGAAAAGCATTGAAAAAACACCTGTAATTATGCACATGCACCCATGCCTCAAGATGTTTGTAAACTACGGGTGCTACAAACATGCACAAATAAAAATGTTTCTATTAATAAAGACCAATATACATTTTATTAGAAAAATTATCATGAGTCTAAAAAGTGTTATGTATATGTATCAACTTCCTATGATGAACATAGTTATATACTGGACACATACAGAAAGAAAAATTTTAAAAATACGACTTTAGTAACAGAAGCTGTAGATCTTAAAAAATTCATTAGTCTTTAAATTGGCAGTTCAGTAGTTTGTAAATTATAACTCTACACTAAATTCTTAAAAATTAGTGTTTCTTATAAATTCTGTTATTTATTGTAGTGGTTGATACATTGTGTCAATTGCAAAGTTTAGAAGCTTAACTAAATGATTCAGCTGTTCTACATCCTGCGTGTAGAGGACATACCTTAGGGTGGCTGTTTACAATGTACAATATAATGGTTGATTCATTGAGAAGTTTAGAAGCTTAACTAAGCGACTCAGGAGGGGCCCAGGGTCCTCACTTTGAAAACAACCTCAACCTGTGCAAGAGGAGGGCACAGAGGTGGTGTGAGTGTTACACCTATCTTAGGGCAGGTGGCCTCCTTACAATATAAGAAGCAAAGAGGCTTGTCTCCCCTCTGCTTTTTATGCTCTTGTTGCTTTTGCTGTCTTCTGCTGCCATGAGCGGTTACCTTTCTGTCAAGTCACCCTAACTTAGAGCCAGCTGATTATGGAATGAAACCTCCCCTAACTGTGAACTAACTTAACTTTTTTTTCCTTAACTTTGGGTGTTGAGTATTTTGTCTCAGCAACAACAGCAAAGTAAGACCTTTATATAACAGCCTATACAACTTTTAGGAGACCATTACTCCAGATAAAACAACTATTGTTTTGTTTTGTTTTTTGTCTTTTTCATTTTTATCAGGACCAAGGATTGAACTCACGACCCCCTGCTTGCAAGGCGGGTGCTTATGCCGCTGAGCTAAATCCCCAGCCCCTAAAACAACTATTAAATAATTATCAAAGTCCAATCAAAAAGGCTTTGGGGAAACTTTAATGTTGCCCTCATGCACTATAAGACACCACCAAATATGTATGAAAATTTAAGAAAATTAACCGAAGCTGGGTGTAATAGTGTATGTCTATAATCCCACCATTCAGGAGACTGAGGTAGGAGGATTGCTGTGAGTTGGAGGCCATCCTGGGCCACATAGTGAGTTCAATTCCAGGACAAACCATAGAGCAAGACCCTATCACATACAACCAAATGAAGAAACAAACAAAAAAACCGCCAAAACAAAAAAAAAAGTACCTGAATATATTTATAGTGAATTAAAAATATTGAGACATCAGGGCCTAACAAGAATTACTACTTTGTCAATATTTTCTACACCAGATAGCTTTAGAATTGGGACAGGTTTAAGCACTCAAAATACAACATCATATAACAATTAGGAAGAGTAGCTTAAGCAACTTCTTTTCCATGTATATCAGGAATGTAACATAATGAAGAACAAACATTGTATGATTTAAGATGAGAGGGGTGGCCACTCACCTAAGATATCAGGAAAAATCTCAGAGTGACAAAAATCGCTGTGCCCATATAAATAAGTGGCTTTATATACTTATTTATGTTGCTGTGTTAGTAGATAACATATATCTCCATGCCTGATTTATTCCAACCTTCTTTATAAACATTGTAGAATAGAAAAGCAACGAATAAAAGCAAAAGGTTTCTAGGCCTGGTGAAGGACAGGCCCAAGATCCATGAGAGGACTCAAAGGAAGTTCAAAAATCACAGAAACAGAATGACTCATGGGAGAAAGGGAAAAACTCTGAAGTAAAGACAAAAAATTACAAAAACATAAAGAAGCAGCAGAAACATAAAGAAGAAGCAAAAGATAATTCAGGAGCCCCCCTCCCAGGTGCCATGCATTGATGCGTTTCTGTCCAGAGCTAGAGATAAACAGCTTGCTGGAAGACAGATATCCATTTTACAAGGCAAAATTTGATAGCATACTTCACATTCTCAATGCCCCACCCTGTGATTTGGCCTTTTATAAACTGCTTTCTTTGCACTGGGGAGATAGCTTGAGCCAATGCAAAAGATTTTCTAGTCTACATGAGAGTAATGAATCGTGTTTATAACTGAATTATTGGTCAGCGAAGACTGCGGAGAAATGCAGTATGACATTTCAGTGGAGCACTGTAACATATAAAATTATATCTTCCAAAACAAAATAGCCAATTTAACATGCTCCATAAATGAATTTCAAAAAAAGGCTTGATAATTGAAAACTAAATCAGCATGGCAAATGTTTCTCAGACATATAGCATTTGTATTTCTATCAAACTGATTCAGAGAATCAATGCTTTTGTATGGAGAGTAAAACCTCAGCTTTCCAGTTAGATCACTGATATCTGTGTCCATGTAATATTAAAATACTGTTTTTAATATTGTAACTGTAAGTGAAAGCATTCAAATGAAAGTTTGCATTAGTAGTTTTCCTTCATTGCTCACGAACTGAGATGTCATTGTAGTTTTCTTCATTCAGTTTCTTGTTTCCTCTTGATTTGTCTTGGATTTCTTACTGGTCTTTTGAACCTCTACTTATAACAATTTAGTCATATGAAGGATAACTATGCCAGGTATGCATTGCTATATCATCAATGAAAAAGGTTTTGACCTTACAGCACAAAACCTGCATTTGATACTATTCTTAGCCACCTTCTGTAATTTTGAAAGAGTGACTGACTTAATCCTCATAGTCAGTCTCAGTTATACAGAGATAAGCATGCCTTCAAAGAGGTTGTGAGAGATTTAAATGATTTAATAAGAAGGCAATTCTATACTTTAATCCTTTTCTAGACACTATCTTCTGTTAGGTCAGATTTGAACTAATTTTTCCTCTTTCAGACCTCTTGCCTACTGAATTTCTTCTCTTAACGTTTTCTGTGTAAGCTAATCAAATTAGGCACTTTATCTGTCCCAACTCATTTCCCCCCCATAACCCATAATTTAACACTGTTGTAGATAACCGATCCCGTTTCAGACTTGCTTGCCTGATTCCTGTTCCCACTGCCACAGGGTGGGGTGGGACCCCTGTTGTTTCATGACCACTGTAGTTTCTTACCTGATTTCCTTGGCTTATGTCTTTCCATCAGTAGTCTGTGGCAAACCATCTGCCACCAATATTGCAACGTAAAAGTGATCATGTCTTTGTACCTCTTCAATTTACCTAACAAGAGTTTTTTAATATGGCACAGAAGTCCTAATTATTGCCTGTAAACTTACCTTAATATTAGAAAAAGAAGAACAAGAAATAGTTGAAAGGTCCTGATACTGACATTGTTATCAGACAGTGCTTGACAGGACTGATTGGAGGGACTAATGATCCCCTGGTGTCTTCGTTGGTGAAACAGCAGTCATTAAGTATCTTATTGCATTTCTCCCTTCTCTCACGGGCTTCCCTGAGCTTCAAAAAAGAGCTCTAATAATCCAGAGAAAGAATCTTCAAGAGACAGGCTCAAGATTAGATGTTTTATTTGTCCATCTCTTCCAAGTAACAAAAAATAGACACTGGAAAGAGGTAAATTATTTCAAATCATTTTTTAAAATGATCAAATTCAAGAATAGAACATTACTTCCTTCATGTGCACTGAAATAGAAACTAATGTGTTTATCTAATCATTCTTCTTAGTATGTTAACACAAACTTGAGTTTCTTGTAGCATTTTAATTAGTTATTTAAAATGCGCCTCCTTATACTTAAACAAATACTTATATATTTGTATGTAACATATTTATGAAATTGTTTTATTTATTAAAATTTACCTATTTTCAAGATTTTCTTGGAGGCACTTGCAATTAGGATTTCCTCTTTTTAAAATCATTAAACACTATTAATTTTTTATTTGGCTTGACTAAATCTCTAAGAATAGGTATTGATTATCTGTAAGGTAAGAAAGACCTCGAATATCCACAACCATAGGTGTACATAGCATCATCTTAATTTTCTTTTAAAAAATAATATGTTCATTTTGCCTGATAGTACATTTCTAGGATCATGTTTTTTTTTTTAATTTCCACCTCAAATCTCCAAATATTGGTATGCTCTTTCCTAATTTATTGTATTATATAATGTTCAAAGTCAGGGTTTTTCTTTTCTCCCTGTACTATAATTTTCAGTGGATGGTATTTTTTTTTTGTCTTTTTCATTTTTATCGGTACCGAGGATCGAACTCACGACCGCCTGCTTGCAAGGCAGGTGCTTATGCCGCTGAGCTAAATCCCCAGCCCCATAGGGACTCATTTGTCACATGGTATCCTCTGGCATCCTCTCTTAACGCACTAGCATCTCAGGAGGCCTGGGAGCTCCTCTGCTTAACCTCATGGAGTCCCCTCTGAAGTGGTATACAAAGGCAATGGCTATAGCTCTGTAGTTTTCTAAAGGCCTCCCAATGACTACTGATAGCCTATGTGTGTTCCCAACTTCTGACTCCCAGTGCTTAGTGTTTTTCTTAAATTATGGTGACAAAAATCCATGTATTTTCAGGAATGCCAATGTTAAGTTTTTTACCAGTTGGGGACTTTGAAAAATGACACTCTGCTCATTGAGGAAACTAGTATAGAGGAGTAAGGAAGAATTTTGAATGCTGATGCTCCTAATTTTTTCTAAAAATAGATGTATATGTTATATAATATATTTTAGAAAGCCAATAAACTCTGGCTCAGTTTACTACACAATTATGTAAAATTTGTAGCAGTTATTAGTTACTTCATGTATGCATAAGTTGATGGCATTGTAAAACCAAGTCAATGTACTGAGAGTTGAGTTTTCTACATTCTAACAAGTTTACAAAGAAGTTACGTGCAGGGTAAAAATTTCTAGCCTAATCCAATTTGAGTTCTCTCTATACACATTGATTTTTAGCTTTGATTTTTTAATAAACTGGTTTATTGATTCTTCCATTCTACTTTTGGTAGAGGGATTTTTGCCTATAAAATACTTTGCAGTCAGCAGCATTGATTGAAAATAGTGTCTCTGGTGATGCTTTCTGAAGAATCATTTTTCTACCATTGGTGGCTAACACTGATGAATGTTTTCTAGTCCATACTTAATAAGAATGTTAGGGGTTAGATAAAATTTTCAAACTTAAAAGAGAACAGAAGAAGCCAAACCTTATGATTATCAAATATAAAATAGCAAAATTATGTCTTAGAAATTTTGTGCCTTTCCTCCCCTTCACTTGACTATGTTGTAAATTATGAATGATAATACTTGGGAAAGAATCACTGTCCAACTTGGGGTTCCCTGGACCTCTTCTTTCTATTACTCTAAAACTTTATAGAGAAAGAATGACCAAACTTAAGATTTTCTTAGTTTGAAGAAATAGTATTTTTGTAATTGAATTCAATTCATTATTTTGAACCCAGTCATTTTATAGAGTATTTTATTAAAGTCTCTTAAAAGTATACTTTCTATATGTGCTTTATATAGACAAGCAATTAAGGCTGCGATAAGGCGATAAGGTCTTACATTATATATGTGTACTTAATGGCTAAATTAGGATTGTCTTAATTTTTTTACTGTAAAATTTATGATCATAAGACTATGCTAAGTGTTTCTGTTAAGATTTGGTCTTCTGCATGTTCCAGAAACCCAATTATATACACATAACCAAATAAGGGTTTAAAATTGCATATGGAAAATCTTACTATACTAAAGCAGATGCTTCAGGGATTCCTCAAACCTCAAGCCCTTTCTGGCTTCCTTTGTGTCATGTATCGCATTGATTTCCATCCTCATTGTTACAAGAGTGCTGGCCCACCTTCTAGTATCAAGCATGAATTCTGAGCAAAAAGAAGAGGGTAAGCAAAGGAGAAAAAATATTTTAACAAGAAAAATAGCAGCTTACTTGGAAAGCTTCCATAGTATGCTTATGTTTATATTTATATTTATCATGTTAACCAAATCTTTATTGTGTGGTGCTTCCAAATTTCAAGAAAGTTTGAAGATTTAATCTTAAATCAAGTTTACTGAGATGTAATTAAAAACACAGTTTATATACACTGATTTATGATTCTTGACAAATACTACACTCTGATAAGCACTACTCCTATCAAGATACAAAACATTCCATCTTGAGGATGGAACTTTAACTGAGAATTTTGCTATTTTAAACAAAATTCAGGTTCTGTTAGGTGGTCAATAGCCACCATTTGCCATAGTAACATTAAATATGGAGATACTTAAATAGTGGTCAGGAAAAGAATTGTAAAAACATAAAATACCTCTATGGCAAAGAAGATTTTAGCTACAGTTAACCATATTTGAGAATATGAACTTAGGCAAGTTTCCCAGAACTGTGTCTCCACTTCCTGATATGAAAAAGGCTTTGAAAAGTCTTAAGTTTGTGCAAAATTAAAATAAAATATAGTGTACAAGAATATTGAGATCTGGAAAGCCCTATACAGATATGTAAAGTTGTTGTTAATACTTATGATGAGAGCTACTCTCTTTTGAAAGTGGTGTTGAATTTAATTCCAGTAGCCTGACATATGGTTGTGAAAATTAAATATGCTTGTGAAATACACTAACTTTTAAGTTTATTAGTGATCTATAAATCAAGGCAATTAAGCACCTTTGGGCAGAGAACACTTTTACATCTGCATTTTTATCAGTTCTGTTTTGAATTATGTCTCTTTCACTTGAGTGAAAATAGCACTTAATGTATAATTTCCTGAAAATTTTATGTACCTTTATGGCTAACAAGTTCTGCTGTAATTTCAGTTATTATACAATACTTTCACAGTAATATGAAACAGTATTTCATTCATTTGAAACGAATTTCATTTTGAGAAACTGCACTTTTTGTAAAATCATGCAATATCAAAATTTGGAGTGTGTGGGAAGACCATTTTTGATTTGTTCCCTTTTCTGAAAAGAAAACACTCCTAAAATTCACCCCATGGAATCAGTTGCAATAAGTTAAAATAAAAACCTCTTGTGGAGTTGTGAGGGCACTCGGTAGGACCAGAGGTCTTGGGAGTTCTGTCAGAAAGGATCTATGAAGAACTGTGATTATTTGTATTATTTAGTTCTCGGAGTGTTTTTCAGAACATTTTTCTAAACACAAAAATCTTGCCAAAATGTTGACCTTTTTTTGTAGACTTTTGCATTAATCAGTACCAACCAATTCCAATCTTCATTGAAAATAAATGTACTTGCTATTCCAAATATTCATTTCCATGAAAAGACTGCTTATTGTTAGTTTTCATTAAAGGCTTTGCTATTTCTTCATCATCCAGGTTGGATTTAATAGTAGCCTTGCTGGTTCTTGGAGAAGCTGCCAAATTAAATATGACCTGCTTGAAAACTTTAATGGAACTGATGAGAGATTTTCTTTTAAGCATTATGTCTGTTGAAAAACAGGTAACAGTTTTGCTAATTTAAATGTGAAAAGAGACTTGAATAGAAACTTTTTTTTGCTTTTATTTAAATTGTGTATCATATAGGCAAATATAATCTATAAAACTTTGTTATAGTAATTTTAATTAAGTATAAAAGTAAATGTTCATATGTCATAACATTGACTATTTTCCATGTTCTAATTTATTATCAAAGTTTATATTTTAGTGTAAGATGCTTTTTTTTTTACCTATTTTTGAATATTAAATCTGTTTCTAATTGTTCATGGTTAATTACATGTTCACCTGGCATTCTCGTACATAAAACCTCACCTGCATTTATGACTATTTCTTTGGAATATGTTGCTAAAATTAAATTACTGAGTTCTTGTAAGATTTTTGGGATAGATGCCCAAATTCTTCTCTCAAAAATGTAAATATTTTGTATGTCTATAAAAATATACGAAAAAGCCACACTCTAAAAAGAATTATTTTCTAGTACTGAATTAATTTACATTGCATTAACTCCTAAAGAAATTGAAGCCATTGTTTTTTATGGTTATGAGCCACTTGTATTTTTAAAACTTCACTTGTTGCAATCTATCTAGGGAAAATTGGTTTTCAAATAAGTTTAAAAATATTTAGGAATATCAATTTATTTTGGTCTTTTAGAAACTCCTTAAAATTTGAAGATATATTTGTTTTAAGCATACCATACAGTTTTTAAAAATTGTTTTTACTTGCTTGTGTGTGTGTGTGTGTGTGTGTGTGTGTGTGTGTGTGTGTTCGTGTGCTGGGAATTGAACTCGACTTTGTGCTTGCCAGGCAGATGCTTTGCAACTGAGCTATATTCCCTCCTCTCTACAGTTCTTTATTCTGACAGAATATATTTTGGTTACCTAATGCCCCCACTCCCGCGCCCAGGATTTAAACTCAGGACCTTGCACTTGCCAGGCAGGAAGTTGTGCTGCTGAGCTGTATGCTCAGCCCTGCCTGTTTTCTTCTTTCAGGAGGACATGTGTGAGGGAGATGACCTTTGCTGGTCCTGGAATGTCGTTCATACATACACAACGATCATCGCAGAGATCTGTTTGTATGCAGCCACATCTGATTTGCGGAAAACTGCCTTTATTGGCGTCGGTGGCTATAAATGTCCACGCAAAAAAATTTTACTTATCGACGAATCAGAACAGCCAGAACTACAGGAAACAAGTATTTTACATCTTTTGGAATTCTTTTCTTCAAAAATATCAGATAATTGTAAGTAGGTTGTGTTTCATTTTGATGAATAATACATTTAAATGTCCCTGTTTACCTATAGTAATGGCTTTTTATAGCAAGGTAAGTTTTAGAAGTGAAACATAACTTTAAATTCAATTGGACTGTCATGAAAGAATATTTTATAGATGAATATTTTCTATACAAACTCACACTCTGTTAATTCATTTTATATATATATATATATATATATATATATTACTTGCAAAGAAAAGAAAGTTTTTGAAGTGTATATAAAATTTAGTTCCTCTTTACTATATAGTTTTCCCCTTTAGAACTTTACTTCTGTGCTTCTGCGTTTTCTGTAAGGCATCTCCTGTATCTTGTTTTTTTCCTGTCAGAGAATTTCTCTTCGTTCATTCACTGAAATATTATAGTATATTCTTCACAATCATCTTCTTATATTCTATTAAAAAGTTCCTGTTTTTCCTCTCAAAATTAAAAGTAACTTTCTGTGTTTATGGAAGAGTAACAGAAAAAATACGATTATTTTTAAAGCATAATACGATAATATTTTGAGAAGTTCTTTTAGATTGATTAAACTTCATACATTCATTATGAAAATCATTACAGTTTATATATTGTTTTATTCCATTTTATGGCTGGCTTTCATTAAATTGTGAGACAACTGAGTTGTTTATGAATTGTATTTGTATTAACAAAGAATCTAGCATAGGAGCATGTGATGGGTGGACAAACAATGATAGTGGATTTATCATGTAATTAAATAAATCACTGAATTTCAGTTATAAGATTTTGAAATTATGGAATGAATCAGAATTGTTTTTCTTCAGAAACATAATTTACTGATTTGGGGCAAATTATGCTTGCATGTAATTTTAAATAGTAAGACTTCAATACTAATTTCACTCCTAAAACCCTTTTCACTCTTTTGAAATTACATTCAATACTCTTTTGCTTTACTTTATAGACTGGAACCTGTCATACAAGGTCATTTGCTTACTTGCTTGCCTATTTCCTACTTTTCATAATTACAGTATTTTTGTTTTTATTGGTATAAATTTTAAATACATCTTTCTTAGTACACAAATTATATCGCTCTAGTGTTTATAATATTAAACGAAGGAATAAGTATTCATTTATTTCTCTTCACATTTTAATTATTCATAATGGTCAGGAATCTACCTCTATAGTAGTTTATCCCGTGATTTGTAAACTGCTCTTCAAAAAGACCTAAAAAACAAAGAAAAAAAGGTCCTCTAAATTGTAGGCTTTCAACTCTTGTCTACCTTTGCAGGTTAGTGGTTTCTGATTCTTTCTTTCCTTTGATGTTGGGTCTGGATGAAATTCCTCCCTGAGGAGGATCTTTACTCCCAGAAGCCTCTTGGCTTCCCTAAAGGATGCCTGGCCTCTGGCATAACTTCACCATAATGGAATTGCATATTCTAAGTACACTCAAAATTTTGTTCCTTCTTATAAGCCTGACAAATTTTCCCTAATTAGTCGATAATTGACCGGCGCAGCCCCCCAATAAGACAGGAGATGCTTCAGGTGGTAACAGGAACTGCCGCTTTATTTACGGGCTCTGGTTTATATATTCGGCCGTGACCAATCACAGGCTGCCACGAGGAAGCAGGGCGGGAATGGGACTGCAGGCTCTGGCTAATATATCCAGCTGTGGCCAATCAGGGGTTGCCACAGAGTCCGCACAGGGCGAATACGGAGTGAGCACGAGGTGCGCACCGGTTGACTAATTTAGAGAGGGACCTGACGCATTGCAGAAGCTGACGTTGTCTTATCGTCAGGGGCGGGGTGGGTTGAGCGCCTGCGCCTGACAGATAATGTCATCCAATTTATTTGTTGTTGATATTTTGTCTTTTTAAGTTTCTTATTTTCTCCTGAGGACTTTATTTTGATAGCTCAGAATTTGACTGAATTCTTAAGACACTTGTTTTTCTGGCTAATTTCTGCTACTTAATATTGCTTAGTTTTCTGGAAAGCGCACCCCAACTGTTCGCAACTCAAATATTGTTCTTTTTCTTCATAATGGTATAACAGCATATTTACTGAAAATCTTCTTGTCATTCATGTGCATTTCCTTTCTTCTTTTTTTTTCTCATTCATATATATTTTCTTACAGTGTATTTTATAGGTGTTCTATTTCATTATTGATATATATTTTTAAAATTTTTATTGTTACATGTTTGCAGTATACAAAATTTACATTCATTCCTCTCAACATCTGATCCCCTTTTCTATCTCAAAAAGTTTGCTTCTTTGGTCCTACCGTCTATCCTTTATTTAACTCTAATTTATTCATATTTTTGGTTTCTTATATCAGAGAAACTGCTATATTTAACTTTCTAGATCTGACAATAGTATCATGCTAAGATCCATCAATTGTCCTTCAAATAATGTGAATTCATTCTTCTGTATATATGAATAAAATTCTAATTCTAAATAATAAATATATTTCTCTATGTCTTTATCTCTTTATCTACCTATATCACATTTTCTTTGTCTGTTTTTATGTTGGTGGGTATCTAGGCTGTTTCCAGGGCTTAGCTATTGTGAATTGCAGTGCTGTAAATATGCATGTATCATTACAATATGGTGACTAACTTTTGGGAATTTATCCTGCACAGGAAAAGCTGGATCAAATGGATTTCCTATTTTTAATGTTTTGAAAAATCTCCATATTGACTTGCATAGTGATTGTACTAGTTCACACTCTCAGCAACAGTGTAGAAGAGTTCCTTTCCCCCCACATCCTGAGTAGCGTTTGCTATTCTAGAAAAGATGTGTTGCTCTTCTTTTGTATTTTTCTTCATAGCCATTCTGACTGGTGTAAGATGAAATCTCAGAGTTGTTTTGATTGAAATTTCCATAATGGTTAAATGTAAACTGAGAGTTGTCAAGCATATAGTAACATGTGGCCACTCTTTTATCTTCTTTGTTGATCTGAGCGAACACACTTTGTTTTTGATTGATCTGAATTCAGTACCCAATGAAAAATATAACATCTAAAGTCAGTAACACCAAAAGTTTCATATATGTCCCTAGGAAGAGAGCCATCTATATAACTGTGCAATAAGCAATAGTCTTATTAATTGTGATCTGATTGTGATTTTTGGTAATTATTTGCCATTGAATAAAGCTTCTAGGAGTTTCCAAGATTCATTATACAAACCACTAGGCAATGTTATAGATCAGCCAGTAGGCGGTGTTTTGGATCTTTACAGCTCACGTGTTTTCAGCTTTTTATTCTTTAAGTGGACCATGATAGAGAAGTAAAATCACTAGCAGACTGGATTCTAGAAGGAGATCATCATTACCCACTCATATGATTGGCAGAGTCAATGGATGGGCTTGTTTTCACTGATGCTCTTCTGGTAATTGCTCTTGAACTCAGCAATGAAATGATTAACCAGTGCGTTATTTGTGTATTCTCAACACAAAAGGACAGGTAACTGTTTCTAGCCCTGCACTGCTATTTTTTTCTTTTTGTTTTTAATTTAAGGATAAAAAGAAAAATATATATAAAAAGGGTACAAGTTATACAGAATTTCAAAAACATAAACAGTAGGAAATCACTAGTTAATAGATTACATATTGTTATCTTTGAAATAGTTGTTCAAGTTACAAAATTAAAGCATATAAAGTGGACTTTCAAACAGTGAGACTGGAAACAGTTTTGTTCAATGATCCAACAAAACTCAGTAATATGGTTATCTATCTTATACACTTAAATATATATGCAGTTATATTCTTTAGAGCATTTTCTTTTCCTTTCTTTTGTACAGTGACAATTACACATTTTGGGTTTTATTGCTCCCACTGTTCTTATTACTTATTTTTGAAGTGAGTAAAACCAAATGTGCCATAACAGAACAAAGTCAGTCAAATCAAAAGGATGGACATAATAGATAATATAAAAACAAAATACTAGGTGATCAACAATGGTTACCATACTGCCTCTTGCTATCTTAAAAGAATTGCCTATATTGTCAGTTATAATAAAATTGAACAAAACAGTAAAGGATAAAACTAAAACATTGGAGACATTACAGGACTTTAAAAGAAGATAATAGTCAACCAGAATGGGCATCATAATGAATCTTATTGTTTTCACAGTTATGCCTATACTTTTGAACTTGGTACTATCAAGCAAAGCAGAATAGGGGAAAATCAATCAAAACAAGATGGTGAGGGCTATATAGGATTTCAAATCAAGTTAATAGGAAATCAAAGTGGGTTACTATAATGTATCCTGCTTTTTTTCTTTTTCCCTTAATTAAAAAGATAAAAAAGTAAATAATTTTAAAAAGGAGATTGAGATAAAAGAGAGCATAACAACAAAACAGCACAGGTCAAAGCATAATCATTTGAGCAAAACAGTGTTTCACCATAAGATATCCTGACATAAAAAGTAGTTAGTTACCATATTGTCTCTTTCCTTGAAATCTTTGAGTATAAATTTGTATACTGTAGCACCAAACATATCAAGATAATGTAAAACCATTCAAGAGAATGACAATATTACAGGGTATTTAGAACCAACTATCAGAAAACGAATAATGGTTTCTGTATAATCTCCTTGTCTATAAAAGTTTTTGCTTATATTATCACATATAATAAAATCCAATAAGATACAACCTGTTAAGACCGATGGAGACAGAAGAATAAAAGCTTGATGGGACTTCAAAGCAACATGATACTAAATCAGCACTAGCTATTATGATGTCTTGTTTTCTCCAAAATAGCTGTTCCTACCATCCAATCTTCTCTGCCTCATTTCTGTTGAGCTCTTTTTCTGTCGTTTGTTGTCAGTTTGTCTTCTTCATTTCACTTTCTGCTCCATTCATTGTGGCCTCTCTGCCACTGTTTCTGAAGTCTTGGTATTTTCCTTTTTTAGAATATCCTACAGTATTCTCTGTAAAGTTGAATTGGTGGTTGCAAATTCCCCTAGTTCTTCTTTATCCTGGAAGCACCTTGTTTTTCCATCAATTTCTAGGGACAGT